ACCAACAATGGACTCCGGGAGGGAGGGGCACAACTATCACATGCCCAGATAGAAATCTCAACAAAAAGCCGCATAACATCAGCTGAAGGAACTCAGACAAACAGATTACCAAGAGATTTGCAGATTAGAATTTTCCTGAAACCTGAAGCATCCTATCCCGGAATGCTGGCAACAGAGTCGTGGTCTGCTGGATATCCCTGTCACTGAGGCTGTCTGCCTTGAGAGTATATCCTGTCACTGAGGCTAGGGAAACTGTATGGGTTAGAGGGTATACAAGGATGTGGGAGATATATGATGTTATCTCACCCCTATCTGTGGATAACTGCAGGGATAACCAGACTGATACCGCCAAAACCATCAGTTTCTATTACACAACGTTGCTATTTCAAGGCCTGATGTTTTTATTGTCCAGATCACCGTTCTGGGTTTGAATGACACTGCAAGTGCACTGTGACACTTAATACCATATTGCCCTTGGTGTTCACATAGCTTTTTCACTTTATCTGCCAATTTCTTCTACATATCTTTCAACTAAATCTGTTAATCATTGTGTACTGGTTCGACTTGGGAAGTACTGACCTCTGTTAAATAGTGCAGCCTACGGACCTGCGATGATCCTGTCGAGGAATTACTGAACTATTTTATGCAACTGTTGTCATCATGTCTGTTATAACAGCTTCTATCCACTTGCTCAGAGATTTATAAGCTCACTTCTGTTTACAGACATGTATTTCTCATTTATTTTATACTTGCACTGAAGGAATAATCTAAATATCTCATTTGAAAAAAATCAACAAAAACATTATCACTTGGTCTGCAAATATAAATGTCAGTTGTACGTAAATACCAGATAACTGAATGCCCCTAGGAAATATAGACTGAAGTATTTCTTCACAGATTCATGGCCTAAGCAAAGTGATTTGTCGAAAGACCGGCCCCTAAAGGAATACCAGTACATTACAAGCAGTACATAGATGTACGCAGTAGCTGCATCTAGATCACATTGATATCAAGTCAGATACAATTACAGTCCAACCTCGTTGTGTCGAACTCGTCGACCTGGAAGAAAGTTGGGGTTTTGTGGGGTTCCGAGACATCAGGGGAATTTTATGCTTTATTTGGATACTTGGGGGCTCTGAAGTTCGACACAATGACGTTCGACTGTAGTTGCCATGAAATTGCACATTCTTCTCTCTTTTTTGTGTTTTTTTTGTAAAACCCAAACTTGTATAATGTGAGCACAAAAACAAAGAAAGAAATCATTGATCAAAGCTTAAGAAAACTGGTAATTAGATCAGAAAGGAATATATTAATTAATTGATAAACAAATTCAGCAGGCACATACTTTGAAGTCAGGAGGATAGAGCCCGTAAATTGTGTTCACCAAGCAGACAGGTCCTCCGTCTTTGCATTATCATCTTATCATGCCCTACACCTGTAAATTACTGCAGTCACACACACCACAACTTGGCTTCCATGATAACACACTTTGTGGCTTTTTTCTCTACAAAAACACATTCAAGTTTAAAGGAATGCTTGCACTGAGTGGCACTGGTTGGTGATTTAAATGTGCAAAGTTGACATTGGTAGAAAAGTAGTGGTTATATGTTATAGTTGTAGCCATCAATATCCCTGTAGCTGGCTGAATGAGTGAGTGAGTGGAGGGGGTTTTATACCTTAGAGATTTTACAGGCTAGTGTTGGACCAGACAAACCCGTGGGCAATGGTGTCACAGCAGCCTGGATAGTGTTTGAGTCTGGAGCAGACAAACCTGTGGGCAATGGTGTCACAGCAGCCTGGATAGTGTTTGAGTCTGGACCAGACAAACCCATGGGCAATGGTGTCACAACAGCCTGGATAGTGTTTGAGTCTGGACCAGACAAACCCGTGGGCAATGGTGTCACAACAGCCTGGATAGTGTTTGAGTCTGGACCAGACAAACCCGTGGGCAATGGTGTCACAACAGCCTGGATAGTGTTTGAGTCTGAACCAGACAAACCAGTGGGCAATGGTGTCACAACAGCCTGGATAGTGTTTGAGTCTGAACCAGACAAACCAGTGGGCAATGGTGTCACAACAGCCTGGATAGTGTTTGAGTCTGGACCAGACAAACCAATGGGCAATGGTGTCACAACAGCCTGGATAGTGTTTGAGTCTGGACCAGACAAACCCGTGGGCAATGGTGTCACAACAGCCTGGATAGTGTTTGAGTCTGGACCAGACAAACCAGTGGGCAATGGTGTCACAGCAGCCTGGATAGTGTTTGCGTCTGGACCAGACAAACCAGTGGGTAATGGTGTCACAACAGCCTGGATAGTGTTTGAGTCTGGACCAGACAAACCCATGGGCAATGGTGTTACAACAGCCTGGATAGTGTTTGAGTCTGAACCAGACAAACCAGTGGGCAATGGTGTCACAACAGCCTGGATAGTGTTTGAGTCTGGACCAGACAAACCAGTGGGCAATGGTCTCAAAGCAGCCTGGATAGTGTTTGAGTCTGAACCAGACAAACCAGTGGGAAATGGTCTCAAAGCAGCCTGGATAGTGTTTGAGTCTGGACCAGACAAACCAATGGGCAATGGTCTCAAAGCAGCCTGGATAGTGTTTGAGTCTGGACCAGACAAACCCGTGGGCAATGGTCTCAAAGCAGCCTGGATAGTGTTTGAGTCTGGACCAGACAAACCAGTGGGCAATGGTGTCACAACAGCCTGGATAGTGTTTGAGTCTGAACCAGACAAACCAGTGGGCAATGGTCTCAAAGCAGCCTGGATAGTGTTTGAGTCTGGACCAGACAAACCAGTGGGCAATGGTCTCAAAGCAGCCTGGATAGTGTTTGAGTCTGGACCAGACAAACCAGTGGGCAATGGTGTCACAACAGCCTGGATAGTGTTTGAGTCTGGACCAGACAAACCAGTGGGCAATGGTGTCACAACAGCCTGGATAATGTTTGAGTCTGGACCAGACAAACCCTGTGGGCAATGGTGTCACAACAGCCTGGATAGTGTTTGAGTCTGAACCAGACAAACCCGTGGGCATTGGGGTCACAACAGCCTGGATAGTGTTTGAGTCTGAACCAGACAAACCCTGTGGGCAATGGTGTCACAACAGCCTGGATAGTGTTTGAGTCTGAACCAGACAAATCCGTGGGCAATGGTGTCACAACAGCCTGGATAGTGTTTGAGTCTGGTACACCTATCCCCATGTTTGAGTCTGGTACACCTATCCCGAGTTTCATCAGCTACTGGTGCACCTATCCTGAGTTTCATCAGCTACTGGTACACCTATCCCGAGTTTCATCAGCTACTGGTACACCTATCCCGAGTTTCATCAGCTACTGGTACACCTGTCCCCAGTAGGAGACACTGGGAGACACTCACTGGATGTTCAAAACATGTGAGGGGTGGTGGAGTAGCCCAGTGGCTAAAGCATTCGCTCCTCATGCCAAAGACCAAGGTTCAATTCCCCACATGGGGAAAATATGTGAGGTCCATTTCTGGTGTCCCCCGCCATGATATTGCTGGAATATTGCTAAAAGCGGCGTAAAACCAAACTCACTCACTCACTCACTCACTCACTCACCCACTCACTCACTCACTCACAACGTGTCCAACACAACACATACACTCATACATCGCCTGCCCCCCACACTTAGATCCACCTATTACATACCACACACCAAATCATGATCCTTTGAACACTCACTGGATTATAATATTTATAGAAACTTCCATTAACATTCTCACATAAAAAATGCCCCTTGTTCCCATGAGAATCTTACAAGAAGATTTGACTGTAGAACGAAGGCAGGCATACTGCAAGCACCTGCCGCCTGGCCAAGTGTTTATGTATTTGGCAATGGAAGTGTACCGCCTTCCGAAAGACAATGGCACTTCTACTATTGTTTCTTCATAAATAGCTGCCACATGGCACAACACTCCAATGCTCTCCGAAAGTCATTCTTTAAATTTGTCCAAATAAATCGACTCCAGGGAGTTGGCTCAAGGGACGTCATTTTACACAACCTTCGACCCGATATCGCAAAGTTTACGTCAGCGAATTTCAGCGTAAACTTGTCGGTATTGTTCTGGCAGGATGGCCAAATAGCAGTAAGTTATGTAAACAAATACTTGTCTATGTAAAACAATACACATTTGATGCACATGCGTGGAAATTATTAATAGAGGTCTGTGGTAGAGGAAGATTATCGCATAAGACATGTGTTTTGTGAATGATTTCCGCTGTCTCAGCATATATGCCACTTCCTTTTCTGTCTACGGGGTTCGGAGAGACCCGATCATATTTACCGGAGAATATCAAGTGCAGATTTCAGTCTAAACACACAGTTGTAGTCGGTGATGTGCGAGAGCAGGCACACAACATTTGTCATGCCGTGATTAATGAAGTGCACGTTACGTAACAACAGAAGGTCCCCCCTGCCAGACAGATGCTGCCCCCGACCTGTGTCCTCCCCCCCCCCCCCCCCCCCCCCCCGATGTGTCGGCCACTGACACCAGCTAGACATACTTGAGGCTTACATTATATGCATGTGCAGGCTTGGAGACTGCGCTTAGTTTCCCATTAGGCTCCGGCTTTACACTGCCTTTCAGCTGTTACTGGGTGGAGGGTGAGGCACGGGGGGGGGGGGGGGGTTATTAGAAAATTATTTGGGCATTTATTTGCAAATTTGTATACCTGATTAACTTGGATCTATCTATCCTTCACTCTTACTATAAATTATTATTCATCAATTGGTGTTATTCTTGATAGTTCATCAGTCTAATGGAGTTATATTAAATAATTTGAGAAAGTTATTTGAAAATTTAATATATTATATGCAAAGTGTGAGGCAGGGTAACAACAAGTACCATCTGTTGACGTCTATTGGTGTGATACAGCCAGGGTTCAAACCCTGGACCTTCTACAACTTGTACAGACACTTGTACAGACAGACACAGACTGACACAGAAACTTGTACAGACAGACACAGAGGGTAGTCCTACCTTTGATGCATGTTTTCCGCCTCTTGAAGTTGAGTACTGTGAGATTGGATGCTGAGAAGATGCTGATGTTCATCTGGATGATGACATCGACCTGGGCACTCATCTCACCTGTGCAGGGCAGACGCACCTGGAACACTGGAACACACACCCCACCTGTACACTTTCGGCCATTCTCCTTGGTATGAGTGAGTGAGTGAGTGAGTGTTCATTCACTGTATTTAAATAGTTGTGCAAATTGTCAAGCGACCCCCACCCTAGTATCATGTTTTCAAAGTAAGTGCATTGAATAAGCTACAATTGTCGTCAGGATCCCCATGTCCATGCCTTGGACTTCCCAAATTATAACTGAGAGGACCCTGGATACCTCACATAATTCTATATTTTACTCAAGCATTGAACACTGGTTCTAATGGATCAGGCATTGAATGCTAGTTCTGATGTACAAGGCATTGAACACTGGTTCTAATGGACCAGGCATTGAACACTGGTTCTAATGGACCAGGCATTGAACACTGGTTCTATTGCACCAGGCATTGAACACTGGTTCTAATGTACCAGGTTCTAATGGACGAGGCATTGAACACTGGTTTTAATGCACCAGGCATTGAACACTGGTTCTGATGCACCAGGCATTGAACACTGGTTCTAACGGACCAGGCATTGAACACTGGTTCTAATGTACCAGGCATTGAACACTGGTTCTAATGTACAAGGCATTGAACACTGGTTCTGATGTACCAGGCATTGAACACTAGTTCTGATGTACCAGGCATTGAACACTGGTTCTAATGTACCAGGCATTGAACACTGGTTCTGATGTACCAGGCATTGAACACTAGTTCTGATGTACCAGGCATTGAACACTGGTTCTGATGTACCAGGCATTGAACACTGGTTCTTATGCACCAGGCATTGAACACTGGTTCTGATGTACCAGGCATTGAACACTAGTTCTGATGTACCAGGCATTGAACACTGGTTCTAATGTACCAGGCATTGAACACTGGTTCTAATGTACCAGGCATTGAACACTGGTTCTAATGTACCAGGCATTGAACACTAGTTCTGATGTACCAGGCATTGAACACTGGTTCTAATGTACCAGGCATTGAACACTGGTTCTAATGTACCAGGCATTGAACACTGGTTCTGATGTACCAGGCATTGAACACTGGTTCTGATGTACCAGGCATTGAACACTGGTTCTGATGCACCAGGCATTGAACACTGGAGATTATCTCTTACATCAACTTACAAACTCATGCTGCACCTACATGACAACTCCTCTCATCCCAGGGAGTTCTAGACTAGACGTGTCTAGGTGGCACACCATTGACCAAGCTCCCTCCCAGGGAGATCTAGACGAGTCTAGGTGGCACACCATTGACCAAGCTCCCTCCCAGGGAGTTCTAGACGTGTCTAGGTGGCACACCATTGACCCAGCCCCCTCCCAGGGAGATCTAGACGAGTCTAGGTGGCACACCATTGACCCAGCCCCCTCCCAGGGAGATCTAGAAGTGTCTAGGTGGCACACCATTGACCCAGCTCCCTCCCAGGGAGTTCTAGACGTGTCTAGGTGGCACACCATTGACCCAGCCCCCTCCCAGGGAGATCTAGACGAGTCTAGGTGGCACACCATTGACCCAGCCCCCTCCAAGGGAGATCTAGATGAGTCTAGGTGGCACACCATTGACCCAGCCCCCTCCCAGGGAGATCTAGACGAGTCTAGGTGGCACACCATTGACCCAGCCCCCTCCCAGGGAGATCTAGACGAGTCTAGGTGGCACACCATTGACCCAGCCCCCTCCCAGGGAGATCTAGAAGTGTCTAGGTGGCACACCATTGACCCAGCTCCCTCCCAGGGAGTTCTAGACGAGTCTAGGTGGCACACCATTGACCCAGCCCCCTCCCAGGGAGATCTAGACGAGTCTAGGTGGCACACCATTGACCCAGCCCCCTCCCAGGGAGATCTAGATGAGTCTAGGTGGCACACCATTGACCCAGCCCCCTCCCAGGGAGTTCTAGACGTGTCTAGGTGGCACACCATTGACCCAGCCCCCTCCCAGGGAGTTCTGGACGAGTCTAGGTGGCACACCATTGACCAAGCTCCCTCCCAGGGAGTTCTAGACGAGTCTAGGTAGCACACCATTGACCCAGCCCCCTCCCAGGGAGTTCTAGAGGAGTCTAGGTGGCACACCATTGACCCAGCCCCCTCCCAGGGAGATCTAGACGAGTCTAGGTGGCACACCATTGACCCAGCCCCCTCCCAGGGAGTTCTAGAGGAGTCTAGGTGGCACACCATTGACCCAGCCCCCTCCCAGGGAGATCTAGACGAGTCTTGGTGGCACACCATTGACCCAGCCCCTCCCAGGGAGTTCTAGACGAGTCTAGGTAGCACACCATTGACCCAGCCCCCTCCCAGGGAGTTCTAGAGGAGTCTAGGTGGCACACCATTGACCCAGCCCCCTCCCAGGGAGATCTAGACGAGTCTAGGTGGCACACCATTGACCCAGCCCCCTCCCAGGGAGTTCTAGAGGAGTCTAGGTGGCACACCATTGACCCAGCCCCCTCCCAGGGAGATCTAGACGAGTCTTGGTGGCACACCATTGACCCAGCCCCTCCCAGGGAGTTCTAGACGAGTCTAGGTGGCACACCATTGACCCAGCTCCCTCCCAGGGAGTTCTAGACGAGTCTAGGTGGCACACCATTGACCCAGCTCCCTCCCAGGGAGTTCTAGACGAGTCTAGGTGGCACACCATTGACCCAGCCCCCTCCCAGGGAGATCTAGACAAGTCTAGGTGGCACACCATTGACCCAGCCCCTCCCAGGGAGATCTAGACGAGTCTAGGTGGCACACCATTGACCCAGCCCCCTCCCAGGGAGATCTAGACGAGTCTAGGTGGCACACCATTGACCCAGCTCCCTCCCAGGGAGATCTAGATGAGTCTAGGTGGCACACCATTGACCCAGCCCCTCCCAGGGAGATCTAGACGAGTCTAGGTGGCACACCATTGACCCAGCCCCCTCCCAGGGAGTTCTAGAGGAGTCTAGGTGGCACACCATTGACCCAGCCCCCTCCCAGGGAGATCTAGACGAGTCTTGGTGGCACACCATTGACCCAGCTCCCTCCCAGGGAGATCTAGACGAGTCTAGGTGGCACACCATTGACCCAGCCCCCTCCCAGGGAGATCTAGACGAGTCTAGGTGGCACACCATTGACCCAGCTCCCTCCCAGGGAGTTCTAGACGAGTCTAGGTGGCACACAATTGACCCAGCCCCCTCCCAGGGAGTTCTAGACGAGTCTAGGTGCCACACCATTGACCCAGCCCCCTCCAAGGGAGTTCTAGACGAGTCTAGGTGGCACACCATTGACCCAGCCCCCTCCCAGGGAGATCTAGACGAGTCTAGGCGGCACACCATTGACCCAGCCCCCTCCCAGGGAGTTCTAGACGAGTCCAGGTGGCACACCATTGACCCAGCTCCCTCCCAGGGAGTTCTAGATGAGTCTAGGTGGCACACCATTGACCCAGCTCCCTCCCAGTGATGATTCACTCTACAGATGAGGGAGAAAGTCACACCTGATGACCTGGCAGCCCTACACGCATGAATTCAGTGTAATTAATATGAAATCGAATCTAATTAGTTTACCTGACAATGTGCTAGGCACCTGTCCCTCATTAGATATATTAGCCTCCGGCAGCATCAGCGCTCGGTCATGAAGCACGGTGAACTTCATTCTGTAGAACATCTGAAACGACAACAGAGGAATGAGTGAATCTTATATCATCAACAGTGCAACTATTTGTACATTGAGACAAAGGCACACCTACAATTTGTACAATGAGACAAAGGCACACCTACAATTTGTACAATGAGACAAAGGCACACCTACAATTTGTACAATGAGACAAAGGCGCTACCTACAATTTGTACAATGAGACAAAGGCACACCTACAATTTGTACAATGAGACAAAGGCACACCTACAATTTGTACAATGAGACAAAGGCACACCTACAATTTGTACAATGAGACAAAGGCACACCTACAACTTGTACAATGAGACAAAGGCACACCTACAACTTGTACAATGAGACAAAGGCACACCTACAACTTGTACAATGAGACAAAGGCACACCTACAATTTGTACAATGAGACAAAGGTACACCTACAATTTGTACAATGAGACAAAGGCACACCTACAATTTGTACAATGAGACAAAGGCACACCTACAACTTGTACAATGAGACAAAGGTAGCTAGCTATCTTATAGATGTGCTATATAAGTGTATGTTATAAGTTCCTTGTATAAGAATGACTGTGAGTTTTCCTTGTTACACAGTCAGGAGTAACACACTGGACATTGTACATATTACACTACGGCGGCGATGGAGTTGACTGGTGGTCAATGCGTTCACTCGGCAAAGCGAAGGCCCGGGTTCGATACCCCACATGGGTACAATGTGTAACGCCCATTTCTGGTGTCCCCCACCATGATATTGCTGGAATATTTCTAAAATCGGTGTTAAAATCATATTCACTCACTCAAATATTACACTGCCACTGTCTCATCATATCTCAAGAAATCCTTTAAATAATTCATCTTTCAAGATATCTCAACTTTTAATGGTACAAAAGTTAACTCTCTGTTCACTGCGTTTTAAATATGATGATGTAAAGCCATATTTCAATTTGTTTTTCTGAGACTACTCCAGATATTCTGTCAGTGACCTCGCAGTCCGTGTTCGTGAAGCAGCTAATGTCTTATTAACAACAATGTCTCCGTCAATCCGATGTCTGCCATGCAATGCCTTACAACTGACATCTGATGACAATCAAAATGTTGGAAGATACTATTTTCCTGATCAGTTGACCTGAAAATATTTTACGAGGAGATGATCACTGAATCTGCAATAAAATCAACTTGACAGCTCATGAAACTCGCTCATCTGGGAAAACTTCACAAATGCAATAGTCTGCCAGTGTTTGGAAGTTTGCTTGTCAATTTCACGGTTTGTGATTTTTTTCACTCAAGGCTGTAGGCATTCACTCAGGAGCAGTATTCCGTTAGGATGAAAACATGCCGCTTTCCTCATCACTCCTTTCGACATAATTGTCAAAACGTCCATTATGGTATCATATTTATGCATTCTTTGAACACAGGTGACACAGGCACGACACGGCCCATGTGACAGGTAAGTGAGGGAGTCGGCAGTGTAAGGCAGTCACTGTCCACATGTAACTTTCCAATGGGGTTTGTTGGCAAGGTCATGTAGAAGTGGCACAAATTAAGTACCGTCATACCTATTGATACGCAAGGTAGGCACATTGTGACATCTCCGGTATGTGGGTCCCACAAATTCTTTTCCAGAATCCCAAACAAAACTTTTCTATCTCTTCCTCACTCAACCTCAAATCCATTATTTACTAAGGAAAGTTGTAAATCCATAATTTACTGAGGAAAGTTGTAAATCCATAATTTACTGAGGAAACTTGTAAATCCATAATTTTACTAAGGAAAGTTGTAACCAAGTGAATGAATGCCATAATCAGCAACATTCCAGCCAGGTCACAGCGACCTGTAGGTCTTGGTCAGACAAACCAGTGGTCGACAGCATGATCACAGCCCCACGCTGTCTTGATACGACGACAGACAATCAGTCGAAACAACGAGCCTGACCACCCAGCTCCAACTTTCTTTATATGAGCATGGAATCTGAGCTAGAAACCCCAAAGGGTCTTCAACCAAGAGCTACGTGAGAGGGAGTGTCCACTAAGCCTGCACATACTACGACCCGACCCATAAGGCCAGCCACGTGGGAAATAATTGTTTTGAAAGACAGTCATGATTGAGTTACATTTCAAAACGTGTACCTGTGTTCTCATGTTGACATTGGTCAAGGGTGAGAAGATTGCAAACCTCCCTTGCAAACACCACCTATATTCATAAGAAACATATTCCATGCATGTCCTGCGGTAAGTGGGGCAAGGTGAAGGTCAGCCCAACAATGTCTACTTACGGCCGGTTGTTCTCTCAGCCTCTGCCATGTGAAGTAGATTTCGTCAATGTCCGGCGGAAGCGGCAAGTTGAAGGTCAGGGCGTAGTTGTTAATGATGCCATTTCTCACGTAATACAATTCCGCAGTTATACCTGAAATTAAACAATGATAAATAACACTGATGTCAAATTACATAAAAAACTTTTTTTTGGAGATTATTTGAAACCAATTCATTGTATTGTTCTGCATATTATACACAAACAATACACGAGCATGTTCATGGTTATAACATTCAAAAAAGCCGAATAAAAAACAAAGAATAACATCCAGTCTAGACAATGTATGCTATCTCGTGATTGATTATAGAATCAATCATTTCAGACAAGATGCGTTTATTTTCCACTACTGTCATTCCTCATTAATAGCCCATCGGCAAACTATTGAGGAATAAACCTGCTGGGCCCTGTACGGCTACCTCATAGAGCCGGTTATATTGATTACAGAATATACCTATACTGACCACCAGAAGTCCTGAAACAACTGCCAGGAACTATCAAAGACTTCTGGCAGGGGAGGACTGTCACATGACTGTCACATGACCATCTAGTATCATGGCAGCCTCAAATTTACATCCAACACAAATGATACATGCCATTGTGACCGTTGAATCCCCAATCTTGTCTGTGGCACAGCTGGTTGCAGCAGCTGGCCAGGAACCTCCTCCAACACAAGAACAGTCCAACCCTGCTGAGGACTATACATCACGGCAGACAACCCATTACATTCAGTCAACACAGACAACCCATTACATTCAGTCAACACTTTTTGTCCCCAAATCCTGAAAGTGGATTTTTTTCCTCCAACCCCGAGTCATAAACAAGGAGGCTAGTTGGTTGCTGTCCCTGAAATAGGACTAAAGTCATTGTGACAGTTTTAACATGTGTATCATTGCGGCAGAATGTTGGCATGTCACCGATGGAAACCAGTTGACAAAATAACTCCTCGTGATGCTTTTACCATGTCTTGTTTAGCCAGAAACTTGAGAATGCCTTTTAAAAAATATGCAAAACACCTGTTATTTTCTTAGCAATTGAAAAGTCATTTCACTGCAACTGAGATGAGAATTGATTTGAGGGGGCAACCATTCCCTACAAAATTGGATGTCAAAATGTTGATATATGAGAGCCAGGGAACCCCGGGTTGGGCTTCCTTCTCCAGAACACTGCTGTAACGGCCATTTTTATAAAATAACCTATTTAGAAGATGTGCATTGCATCATGGGATTATTAACAGGGCATGTGATTTACTGTGCCCTGCGCAACTGTCAAAATAGGAATCTCCCTGTAGCCAATGCAGCCAATCAAAGTTTATTGAGATAGTGAATCTGTAGCATGGAGAACAGCACAAAGCAGCGACTCGACTGAAAATGGCCCAATCCGTGGCAATAAAGGAATTATATCTCTGCATGCAGAATGTTAAACGTGTCAAACGAAGACCGTAGTAACAGCTTTCTGATTAATTCTCTAAACAAAGTACAGTTTAAAGCTCAAATTTATTGCAAATGAGGGCCTGTGTGAGCCAATATAATTTTATATGTTTTTATAATTCTGCGACTGAGTGCAGCGTTATCATGCAAGACACTCAGTAACGAGAGGTCTGGGTTTTCCCATCATGCCTTGTACTCACACAGATCGCCATGTGAAGCTCGTATAAAACGACAAAACCCCCACTAACTGCCTGATGAGGTCTACGCTGTATAGCGCCCTGCTGTAGAGAACAGGAGTGTCAACACCAGGCTATGACCCTTTCCATAAGATATTTGTATATACAGATGGCCCAGAATTGAAAATAGGTTTGCACAAGAATTAAATAATGGCAGGGCAATAACTTCCTGCTATAAATCACCAGCGACAAAGTGTTATGGCGATGCAATACGGAAACCTTCCCTGCTACTGCCATGCATGTCTCCTCACTCTTCGGATGAAATATGATTCAGTTTTATCGCCAACAATGCATTTTCTCATCAATTTATTCAATAAAATCAAATTTGTCTGCCATCCTTTCATTCCACAGACTGTTATCTTTATTGATTATTTTATTGACAGTGCCTACAATGGAGCCTGAAGTCCCCTGTCGGTGCAACTTACATGGTCTCCTTTCTACAAAATCTCACTCAATAGATTCACAATCATCTCCAAATTGGGTTGAAAATTTTCACTCAATATTTTCAAACTGGTGTTTTATATGTTGCAACAATCGTTGATCCGAAGTTGATGAAGATACAGTGTAGAACACCTGCAGTCCTTCTTCAGTTTGATGTGTGACACATGCATCTCTCTGATCCATGGTGTGACAGTACTGCTCAGTGAAATAATTTAAGGACCCAACAAGACAGTCGGGCAGGTGACCCATAAATGTTGCCTGCCCATCTTCAAAGTTACCTGCCCACATTCAGGTATTCTTTAAAAATAAGGGACAAATCGCGACTTGATTCAGTTGAAATATTGCAAACATTTACTTGAGAATCTATGAGGAGTTATAATAAAACTGAGAACATAAATAGTCTTAGAATTATCTGTCAGACAGTAGGTCAGGTGGAGGAAATTTTCATGCAGCCCGACAGAAAAGTCACCGGCAGGCAGTTATTTGGGACACTGCTGCTGCCGACTACATAGATGTCTCTCTGACTGCTGCTGCCACCTACATAGATGTCTCTCTGACTGCAGCTGCCACCTACATAGATGTCTCTCTGACTGCTGCTGCCGACTACATAGATGTCTCTCTGACTGCAGCTGCCACCTACATAGATGTCTCTCTGACTGCTGCTGCCACCTACATAGATGTCTCTCTGACTGCTGCTGCCGACTACATAGATGTCTCTCTGACTGCAGCTGCCACCTACATAGATGTCTCTCTGACTGCTGCTGCCGACTACATAGATGTCTCTCTGACTGCTGCTGCCACCTACATAGATGTCTCTCTGACTGCTGCTGCCACCTACATAGATGTCTCTCTGACTGCTGCTGCCACCTACATAGATGTCTCTCTGACTGCAGCTGCCACCTACATAGATGTCTCTCTGACTGCTGCTGCCGACTACATAGATGTCTCTCTGACTGCTGCTGCCACCTACATAAATGTCTCTCTGACTGCTGCCGCCTACATAGATGTCTCTCTGACTGCAGCTGCCACCTACATAGATGTCTCTCTGACTGCTGCTGCCGACTACATAGATGTCTCTCTGACTGCGGCTGCCACCTACATAGATGTCTCTCTGACTGCTGCTGCCGACTACATAGATGTCTCTCTGACTGCTGCTGCCGACTACATAGATGTCTCTCTGACTGCTGCTGCCGACTACATAGATGTCTCTCTGACTGCTGCTGCCACCTACATAGATGTCTCTCTGACCACAAGCTGACATGGTACAGAAGAGTGGGGCTACCCCCTGAGTATACCCTGAACAGTGGCCACGTAGAACTAGCCAGCAGTTGACATCCACAGTTACATCATCTACCATCACTGCAACCCTGTTTCTATTGTTTGTGTTTCACATCTGTTTGGAAGACATAAAAAACCATCATCATGCTGGAAGTCGTAATTGTGACTGAGTTGCACCTAGTGCAGTCCATCGACAACCGACATGTGGGGCACAAGTGACCCGCTCTTGACAAATCGATCTACCACATCACATCAGAATGGAAAGTGATCAGGCCCTGCTTGATGCAATTAGTCACAGGGGTCCATTCAGATGCAAATGTGTGTTTTTTTCAAGGAAAAAGTTAATAAGTACATGCATTTTTGCCATGCGACATGCTTCCCAATCACAGATGATGCAGAGGAAGGGAGGGTCTCTAAGGTCAAACCTGAAAGCGCACAAACTGTGATGATTTAACACTTGCCTGCTTATGAAAATACACCCATGGTTTTAATGAAGATAAAAGCTGTCGTTCCTTGATTATTTGCATGTTCTCGGAGGAATATCATTGGTCCCTGCAACTTGGCCTCGCACTTGACTTCACTTTTCATGGAAACCCTTGTGGACGCGAACAGATCAAAGCCTGCTGTACAAATGGAGGCAGCGGTGACGGCACAGCTACATCACCACTCCATTTCAACAGCAGCTTATTTCATCCTCTGTGAGTGATACTGTGACCATTCTATTCTCAATCCTAATGTAGAGGACTAATTAATCAATAAGTGCAGGTTCGGGTCTGGTAGACAAACTTAATTGCCAAATGCCGATCTACCAGCAGCTCTTCCAGCACTGTGTCCAGTAACATGACAGGGCCAGCGGACCAGCGCCGCCCATTCATCACACAGAGAGGAAAACACCTAAAACCTATCACACACCAGTCACACTCAGGGCCCAAACCAGCCACCACGAAATCTCCCTCCATTGTTCACAGATTAAAGAAAGTTACAGAATACTTGCTATACTTAGAACAACAATTAAGTTCCAATAATACATTTTCTGAACTAGAACCTTCCCTCCTCCAGCCGAGCGCCAACCCCAGTTGAAATGGACGTCCCTCCTCCAGCTGAGCGCCAACCCCGGTTGTAATTGACATGTTCTGTTGCTCACTCAACTCTACGAACAAAGTCTCCTGTACGACTTGAACCAATGCAAAAACTTTTTCAATAGCATTATTCATTGTTTTACCAAGCGTAATTCTTCTTGTTTTCATGGGTAACTTGATGTTTGGTCTTGTGAAGTAAAAATCAGGAACATTTGCCTGCAATGATGGCAGCCTCAATTTCCAGAGAGTGAGTGAGTGAGTTTGGTTTAACGCCATTTTTAACAGTATTCCAGTTATATTGCGGCATGTGTCAGCTTAATGTGGGAGGAAAGCCCGAAGTGATGCAGGCCTCAGACGTTGACCACTTCGGTGAAACCCACGAGCACGGGTATGGTGCTGACAAACCTAGAAACATAATCGGGGCGAACCGGGATTCGAACCCACAATCATAGGTTTCTGGCGTGCCCACGGTACGCAACTCTGCACAGCGAATCGTGGCGCCTTAGACGACTCGGCCACCCGTGCCCCCAATTTCCAGAGAAATCCAAGGTCCGACATAAAGCTACTGTAATCTCCCACCCTGTGCAGTCAGTTTATTGACTTCCTTCGTGAGCACCTGGTGTCGTCAGTGG